TAAAATTTAATCAAACAATAAAATCGTATATTAGGCCTTTTCCAGCAAGCCTTTTATGTAGATTTATATCTTTATTACATTTCATTTGGTTGCATTGAGAATGATCCAACTCTTATCTTAAGCTTTGCAATAGGTTGGAATGTTTTGGGATGCATTGTCCTCTTTGCATCTTGGATGAGATATTGATCTTGACTTCATAGTTTTATGCAATATCATGAACTTTTGAATACATATTATTTATTGCATCTCATATTTCTTTTGTTGAATGAAGAAACATTATGTATCAGCTATATTCAGAACAATAGATGTCCATTATTAGGACAACACCATAGAGTTCCATTCATATCCCAAACTTTAATGCATGATCTCTTTGTTTCGGTCCAATACAAAATAATTAGAATGTTTTTAATTTCCTTCATGGATGTGCAAACCATTTGCAACCAATTTAGATGATTTTCCCATTTAGTTGCTATGTTAAATGTAGGTTTTGCAATTTTCTCATTAGATTGCATCCCTTAATCTTAAGGGATCCTTAGAGAAAGAGATATGAACAATGTTATAGTTCATTGAGATAGAAACTGTATGTTGGAATGAAGAAGCTTTTAGGATTTGACAAAGGTTAAAAATTCATGGAAGAAGTTTTACTTCTATTTATCACCTTTACTTGACTTGATACAAACTCAAATACTCCACCCCTATTTATGTTAGTGGCACCTCTTAAATTAATGACTAGGATTGTGCCACTACAATTCTAATCTAATGATCACAAATAAATCTATACCTATCACACAATAATTTCATAACTACCGCATATTTTAGAATAAACTTCTAGATGAGACATGCTAAAATCAAGTTTATATTTCAACTCCCCTCTTAAACTTGATTTTGTGACTCCTAGAATACTTTTCATTTTAATAAAGTCTTCACTCTTGAGTGACTTGGTAAAAATATCTGCAACTTGATCTTAGGACTTCACGTACTGCACTTGTATCTTTCAAATTTTCTTTTGGAATTCTTCTTCGCTTTGTACACCCCCTTCACATAAATTGCCTTATGCCCTTTAGGAAGTGAAGTTAGCTCCCATGTGTCGTTCTTCTCGATTGCCATGATTTCTTCATCCATTCCATCTTTCCACTTCTTGCTTTGTATGACTTCTTGGAAATTCATGGGCTCACAGTCGACAAAGAGACAAAAAAGAGTAAAATTATCTTGATTCATAGTTACCTCATAAAGATCTTCTAATCTTCTGAAGAGTGATACTCTTGCACTTGAATTTTCTTTTGAAGTTGATGACGATGAGTAACTTTGAGTACTTGTAGTCAATGTTATTTGTGGAGTAGTAAACTCTTCTCTTGTTTGCTTGATCCTTGGCTGCTCTGCGTCTTCTTCTTGAAAGTATGGGATTGTCCCTAGTCTCATTCTCCTCCTTCATCGAAAATGACATCTCTGCTGATGGTTGTCTTCTCTGTATTTGGATTGTATAGCTTGTAGCCTTTCGAGTTGTTGTCATAACTAATGAAAATGAATTTTCGCTCTTGTCATCCATCTTATTTCTTTTCTCGTCGGGTATGTGTACATGAGTTATGTATCCAAAAACTCGTAGATAAGAAATGTCAAACTTCTTTCCACTCCATGCTTCTTGTCGTGTCTTTCCCAACACACTTCTTGTTGGTGATCGGTTAGCCAAATAAACAACACATGCAACCGCTTCTGCCCAAAACTCCTTCGACAATCTCTTGCTTTTTAACATGCTCCTTGTCATGTTAAGGATGGTTCTATTTTTCATTTCCGCTACTCCATTTTATTGGGGGGATCTTGAAATAGTTAGAATCGACGTATTCAGTTAGCTTCACAAAATTCTTGAAATTCTTTTAAAGTGAATTCTCCTCCTCGATCAGATCACATAGCTTTGATCTTGAGATCACTCTCTTTCTTTACATCTGCCTTAAACTTCTTGAATATTTTAAAAATTTCTGATTTTTGTTTTAAGAAATATACCCATGTTTTTCGTGAAAAGTCATCTATGAAGAGAAGAAAAAAGTTGCTCTTACTGAGTGAGCTCGACTTTATTGGACCGCAGACATATGTATGTATGAGCTCAAGAGGCTTTTGGGCTCTTGAACTTGACTCTCTTTGAAAGCTTTTTCTGAAGTGCTTTCCGAGCAAACATCCTTCACATAATTGATTAGAGTGGTTTTTGATGAGGGTGGTTGATGCAAGGTAGTCCTCTCACCATCTCTTTCTTTGAAAGCAATTCAAGTCCTCCAAAGTTGAGATGCCCAAATCGGAGATGTCAGAGCCAAGAAGTATCTTTATAATAGGTCTTCAGACATTTGACAATATCGTTTTGATGTTGAGTGAGAACATTCTATTTTTAGACATTGATACTTTAGTAATCAAGTTACCAATATTTTTTTTTTAAAGAAGAGAGTATTTTCTTTCAAGTGAATATCATATTTTTTCTCCAAGAGTTGTCCTAAACTCAAGATGTTGCTCTTCATATTCGACACAAAGTAAACATTAGAAATAAATTGATGCTTCTCATTTTTCTGACAGATGAGAATGTTACCTTTGTCTTTCACCTCTATCTTGGACTCATCTCCAAAAGACACATTGCCACTTACTGATTCGTCAAGCTCTACGAACATGATTTGTCTTCCACACATATGGTTGCTTGCATCGGTGTCCATGTACCATGTACTATCTTCACCTTTTTCATTGTCCTTGTATGCTAGAAGTGGAGTGTCATCTTCTTCTCTTTTTTCTTCTATATAGTTGACTCTTTCATTAATTTTGCTTCATTAACTTTTTACTTAGGTCTTCTACATTCTTTTGCATAATACCCGAACTTGTTACAATTATAGCACTTAATTTGAGATTTATCATACCTCGAGTTTGAGCACCCTCGACCACGTTCTCTTGTAAATCTTTCTCCTTTCTCATAGTTATTATTGTTACTCCATTCTTGCTTGCTAGTATGAACTCGTCATTGTCCACTACCTCTTCCATGTTGGCTTCTAATATTGTTGAAGCTTTCATCTTTTTCAGTTGGTTGGAGATTTGTCTTGAAAAGTTGCATTCATCTTCTTCTTTTCTTCATGGGCTTGCGATGAACCTAGAAGTTGTTCTATCGTCATTGTTTGTAAATCCTTAGTCTATTCGATAATGGTTGTGATACTATCAAATTTTGAATGTAACGATCGAAGAATTTTTTCCATGATAGCCACGTCTTCAACTTCTCACCATTTGTTTTTAGTTGATTGAAAATGATAATGACTCTGGAAAAGTAATCGGAGACCAAATCGCCTTATTTCTTATGCAAAACTTCAAATTGACTTCTTAAAGTTTAAAGTCGTACTTTTTTAAACTTCTTTTCTCCCTTATACGAGACCTCGAGCTTCTTCCATGCTAACTTAGCCGAAGTAGCACTTGAGATCTTCTCAAAACCATCTTCATCTAAAGCTTGATAGATGAGGAAGAGAGCCTTCTTGTCTCTCTTTCGCAAGTCTTTTAAGCTATTCTTTTGTGTTGTGGATAGAGCGGACTCGTCGCTTGGCTCCTCGTAGCCTTTCTCCACAACCTCCCAAACGTCATGTGCTCTAAGGAGTGCCTTCATCTTGATATTCCAATTGTCGTAGATGCTTTCCTTGGGCATCGAGACTTGGAATGAAACCATGCCACCGTTTGTCATTGCTCTATAAAAGGAACATTTAGGCTCGCTTTTAGGTTCTGATACCACTTTGTTGGAATGGAAAAACTTTTAGGATTTGATAAATGTTAAAAATTTATGGAAGAAACTTCACTTCTATTTATCACGTTTACTTGGCTTGATACAAACTCAAATACTCCACCACTATTTATACTAGTGGCACCTCCTAAATTAATAGCTAAGATTGTGCTACTACCATTCTAATCTAATTGTTACAAATAATCTCATACCTACTACTATCACACCTACCACACAATAATTTCATACTTATTACATATTATAGAATAAACTTCTAGATGAGACATGCTAAAATCAAGTTCAACACTGTAGCAGCAGTGTCTTTGCAGAACCAGAAAAACAAAAGAATTGAAAAGGCTTCTATTTTAAAGAAGAAATAAAAAAAGATGAAATTTAAGAAAAAAATAGTCTTGAAAATATGCAAAATAGTAAAAAAAAACAATAAAATAACTCAAAGAAAACTGCATTTTTGTGGTAGCTGCAATGTCTTAAATGATGAAGGTGTTTTATCTGTTATGAGATGAGGTGTAGGGCTTGAGGTATGGGATGTTACCCCACAAGAATTCATATTATGAATATTAAAAAATTGAAAAATATGATTAAAATATTTAATACAAGGGAGAAAAATGTAAATTACAAAGTGAATAACCACTATGATTTATACTCAAACTTCAAAGTCCAGTTGAACCAAAAATATAAAATCAGCCATGATTAACTGTTAAAAATGATACAAGATAAATAATTATGCCCCCTTGATGTTCTTATTCCTCAAGCTCCTCAACCTCACAGTCCTCTTCAAAATTTGAGGAACATGATCATTTAAGCTAACATTAAGATAAGTATATTAATTTGATGATTTTAATTTAATTTATCTTACCATTCATGCACAGAAGGTGTGGCACATGTGCTCCAACGATGCCTCGGTGGTGTATGCCCCCACGGCTTAACACCTCTCTCGACTATTTTGATGCAATTTCACTTCACCCCGTCTTGAGGACTGCCTCAGATTAGACCCAAAAACATTTTTTAAAACATTGTTCATCTCTCAAAC